AGAGAAAAAGAACGAACATATTAAAATTTGATACCTGTCCTCCAAACGGAGGAAACATTTCATGACAGAATTTGCATTGTTTAGCTCTGATCATCTCCACATTTAGTTGTCATTGCTGTCTTAAATATTGCTTCTATTTCTCCTTCAAGAATTGAGGAACAGCTTTTTGACAGCATTTGGATGAAATGCTCTAAGTACTGAACCATAACTCCACTTTCTGCGCTCATTCTGAACTTACTTTAACTGCTCACTGATGACTTAACCCAAAATATTAAGCTTTACCATTTGTTCCTACAAGACCTGCTGCCCTGCAGGGAAACCTCTGACAGTATTACTTAAGGAAGTCAGTTCTGCAAATACTGGACATCAATGTTTTCTTTCATATAATTTTATTTTTGGCAAAAAATAACTTGATTATGTAGTAAGAATATGGTATTCAGAGTCAGATATCAAAATAAAAGCTAAACAGTGGATCAGATAACTTGAACCCCACACCACAATTAAAAAAAAAAAAATTCAGTTAATTTTGCTTTTTTGCAAATGTTGTTTATCTTGCTTGTTAGCAATTCAGACTTCACTCCATCCCAGAATGTCTGAGTACTGACATGAATGAAATTAAGTAGCATAATGATATATCTCCACCTAACTGCTCGTCTTCTTTGCATAATCCCATTTTTATCATTTGTAGAACCCCACACCACAATTAAAAAAAAAAAAATTCAGTTAATTTTGCTTTTTTGCAAATGTTGTTTATCTTGCTTGTTAGCAATTCAGACTTCACTCCATCCCAGAATGTCTGAGTACTGACATGAATGAAATTAAGTAGCATAATGATATATCTCCACCTAACTGCTCGTCTTCTTTGCATAATCCCATTTTTATCATTTGTATTCAAAAGAATCTAAAGAATGTAAGGATAGTAGGGCAAAAGACACTGTACAAATAAAATAAACTAGCCCCAACACTGGAAAAATACATAATTTAAAACGTGTTTTAAAAATGGAAAGCCTAGAAGTAACATATCCTACTTTGCAGTATAAATAGCTCTGCTTCAAGTGTAGGGTTAGTCCTCCACTTAAACTTTTACAGAGCCTCATGATATTCCACCATTGCCACAAACTGCTTTTACCCAGGGATTTTCAAGAGTAATCCTCTTGAACACAGATTTATTGCAGCTTTGCCCTATCTTCAGCCTATTGCATTCCCCTTCCTGCCATTACACCCTTGTATTCTGCATTTGGATGTCTTCATTTTTAAGCTTCTGGTGCATGTGCAAGCCATCAGTTACTCTCTCCAATGAAAGAGTGCAGCCAGTAACAGGTTTGGGATTTTACTCTGTTTATAATAAAAGATTTGATTTTTTTTTAATCAAGACAGCAATTACTCTGACTGCGTATGTGTCTAATTTATCTCCTTAAACAAATTTTGTGGTTATTCAGAGCGTAATGCCATTAAAAATTTTACACAGCTGAGATCTGTTATGAGGGAGAAAGAAACGCTTGAAAGGCAGATTTATGAACTACAGGTAATGAATGTTGCTGGATCCTGAAGCACTCCTACTGCAATTACAAGTAGCTATTCTCAAGGAAGCCTAAGATTCCCAATGAAGTTTAAGCACCTCCAGCTTTAGGAGACATCACGTTGTGTTGGCAGGTTGGTGCCTCCCTCCCCTTCGGGGAGGAGCCTCCAGTAGCTCCGCCTGCCCTTTCCCATTCACACAGGCAGTTCAGGCTCAGCTGGCTCTGGCAAATCCTTGGGCAGATACCGCTCGTCATCCCCCCCGCCCAGGGCACTGTACCACTTCCAAAGCTGCGGGTCGACAGGTGAAGTGGGATCCTTTCTCCTGCTGCTGGAAGCCACAAGCTTCAATCTTGTGACAGCCACCCTCCACTACCTGCTTGACAGTAGTCTCCAGTTGTCCTTCCCATCTCATGTTGTGCAGCTCTCGTCTCTGCAAGCTTCAGCAAAAACCTTGTCACTCCCTTCTTCCCTGGAAGCAACTGCTTGCTATTTCACCGGAGAGCTGCAGTAGCATTCAGCACTGCTGCTAAGGGGTTAAAAGAGTCACGAGGGGGAGAGCTGCTGCCCACCACCACCTCTGACTGCTCAGGGAGACTTTCCCCAAAGTATAGAGATTGACATATACACTGCCTTACAGGCACTATTGGGAATGCAAAACAGAGCTGAGGGAGGCAGAGAACATAAAATGCTTCTGTTTTACCTTTCCTTGTAGCATAAAGACAAGGAGTGATTTAACAAGGATGAAGGATGAGAAATTACCAATAGACAGGCCAGGCAGATTTGTATTACTTACTGCTGCTAGAAACCGATACTAAGTTTATTATCTTTCTTCTGCATAATCCAAGTGTTTACTTCAAGACTTCACCTGCAATTAGCAGTGCAGTGTCTTAGTAACACATACATTTATTTTTGTTCTTGGATTATAGTAGTGATCAGACCCACCAAACCAATCAGTATGCCAAAAACTGTGCACAAATAGTGAGAAGACAATACATTTGAGTAAAGCCTTATCAGAATTACAATGTCAGGAAAAAAATAATTATGTGGAATATTTAAAACTCAGGTATACAACAAATATATTGCATTGTATACTACTGCACAATTAATTTGTATTGATGTTATTAAGAATAACAAATTGCTACTACTTACGTAGCTGATGTAAGATACGCAAAACTGCAAAAGTCAGCAGTATAGATACACTGGCCATTAGGAGATATCTGGCTACCGTAAGTCTGTGGTCTAGGAAACACTGTGTCAACTTGTACTTTAGTACACATTTAAATAAATCTGGTTGATACAGGTGAACTAAATTACCATAAAGGCTGAGTTATTAATTGGGAACAAAACATTACCCTATGAAACCTTCATTAAAAAGCATTTAACTGTGACTAATGTTAGTATATCATTCTGTATGATCTTGAACATTATTAAGTAGGAGTCTGACAAATGATTACGGCATGTCTTCTCAATGCCTCTCAGTGACATATATTTGGTACATGGCTAAACTAAATGAGGTCCTACCTTTGCTGAAGTCCTTGACCTTTTCTGCGACAGATGCAAAACCCATTAAGACACATGCAATTCAATTTAATGTGACAAAAATCAGCCTGAGGAAAAGCATAAATATAAAGTACCATTTCCATGGTACTTTACACAGTATTATAGAGTAGTTTCATGGACTGGTTCTCATAACAGCACTTGCTAGATGGTCCTTATACACAGGTAGACAGATTAATTTTGTAGACTTAGGATAATTTGAAGCGTGTCACAGTAATGAAGCATGTGCCTTTTTTTTCTTTTAATTCTGTCAGTTCTGTGACAGCAAGAATTATCACCCCAATACAGCATGTAAATGTGCTTGACTTTCAGCACATCAAAAGTAAAATCTCCAGATGTATTCCTGTGGCATTAATTAACATGGAACTGGAACAGCAGGACCAAATCCAGATCAAGAAAAGAGGTTATCTGCCTTTTTCAGGTAGGAACTCTTGGAGAGAGGGAGAGAGAGAGACTAATGAAATTACAAACCAAGTTTGCCCATTCACAACTTCAGAAGTTTTATAAGCATTTAAGAACCCATCTGTCACAAAAAAGGCAAATGCAGGTGCTAACTCACTTTTATGAGTTTGAAAGCACCACTATGAGTGTCTTTCTTAAAGGGATCTTTAAAAGAAGCAGTCACTTAACCTTCCTCCCAAGTGTCACAGGCTTATCAGCAAGCATTTGCTTAGATTTACAGTCTAACAAAAGGAGAGGAACTGCCTTGCAAACAGGCTTAGGCTATGGAGAATACCTTCAGGGAGGAAATGTCAACTCACATGCCCTCTAAAAGGAGCCAAGATCTGGAAGATTGATCCCTTCCTTGAAGGGCAATGAAGCTGGTGAAGGGTCTGGAGAACAAGTCTTACGAGGAGCCGCTGAGGGAGCTGGGGTTGTTTAGCCTGGAGAAAAGGAGGCTCAGGGGAGACCTTACTGCTCTCCACAACTCCCTGAAAGGAGGTTGTAGCGAGGTGGGGGTCGGTCTCTTCTCCCAAGTAACAAGCGATAGGACAAGAGGAAATGGCCTCAAGTTGCGCCAGGGGAGGTTTAGATTGGACATGAGGAAAAATTTATTTACTGAAAGGGGTTAAACATTGGAAGAGGCTGCCCAGGGAAGTGGTTGAGTCACCATCCCTGGAAGTATTTAAAAGACGTGTAGATGAGGCGCTTAGGGACATGGTTTAGTGGGCATGGTGGTGTTGGGTTGATGGTTGGA